CAGAACAATGACAGAAGCATTGATGGCACTTAAAGAGTTTTGCCATCAGGCTGTGGAATTACATTTCAGAGAGGTTTGGAAGGAAAAAGCCCTACACAACAAACATCAGCAACAACTAAGAGGAGGTTATTCAGACACCAGAGTAAAATATATATATATATCTCACCATCTTCTTGTACAATGCCTGGGATACTCAGGCTGCACAGATGAGAAGAGAAATTGAATATATTTTTTCTAGAGTCAGATCAACAGTAAAACAAACGACAACAACAAAACTGTCGGGAAATCAAAAGAAGAAAATGATCCAGATCTGATTTGACTTGAGAAAATTTACATCAACTAGCTTAGTTCTCAGAAAATCTAGATCTGCAACCTATTCATTTTTGCACTTTGCAACTACAAAGAAACTAGATTTTGTATTTAAATCAGGTCTTTTAAACAAAAGCTCCATCTGTTAAGCTCCCTCTTCTGGATGATGGATACAATTGCTGGCATATTGAAAGCAAACTCAAAATTTCCCACTTTTGTCAATAAAAAACAAATAGACATTTAAGGTAATTACATATTTCAATATTGGGAGCTGCTTTGTAACATAAGTTTTCAGGATCGCCATTCTACAATCTCAGTGACAACCTGCACAAAAAAGCAACACGAAGTCAAACACTGCACCCAGCCAACAAACAACCATCTAGACCAGCAAAAAGATAATAAGCACTACTTCATATCTTCTGATATCACATGCATCTTTGCCTCTTCCACCTAAAACTATAATTATTTTCATCATAAAAATCAAAATCAAATAGACTTTTTTTTTAAAAAGGCACTTAGTTGAGGAAACTATCAGTCACAGGAGGCAATTAGGAAACTCATTTATATTTTCATCCTTCAACCAAACAAGAAAGAAGCAAAGGTTCCCCTACGCTTTCTTCATCAAGGAGAGGAGCAACCGAAGAGCTCCAAATTCCTGGAAGCACCTACCTGCTTCTGCTGCACTGCAGGTTTCAGGTCCCATAAACACTAGAGAAATGTGTAAAACACAGCTCACTTCACAGAGATGCGGAATTCATCAGCCACACACAGATAAATAGCCATCTTATAGTGGTAAAATAATTACAGATAATTAGTGTTTATCTTATGCACTGACCTATGTTAATAATGCTAGAACAGTTGCTAATAGCTGGCGTGTTGAAAGCGGCTGGAATGACAATCTGTTTTGGTTAACAGTTTCAGAAATTAGTAGAGCTTGGCTAATAGGCTTAGCCTTCGACATTAATAGGCTTGCACTTTTACATTGAAGTTCAATTGAGCTTTCTAAACACTGGTCTTTTTCTTTACTCTTGCTGGTATTTTATGGAAACAGAATTAACCTGAATTATTATTAAATAGGAAAATATCAGCAGACTTGAGTATTTTGGTCCTATTCATTCTAATCTTTTTAATCAATATTGTCAATTTAGTCACAAGCTTGAAATAGCAGAAGTGGAGACGGAAATAATTTGTAATAGTAAGCTTAGCATTATTCACTCAGCTTTTCTATCACTGTACAGACCTCGCTGTCTTATCTGTATAATAACAACATGCTCTTGCAAAGCATTCTTTTGACAAGAAAATTATCACTATATGTACAGAAATAAAAAAGTAAACTTTCTGACATCATTCAGAGTAAAAAAAAAAAAAAAGAAAAAAAAAAAGAAAATCTCCAAAAATCAGAAATAAGATAAACCGCAGTCCAGTTCTAGCCCAAGACAGATGCCTGAAATAACTCTGATTCAATCTCTCTAGCTACAGCTATATGAAAGCATTAAAGCACTATTTAAGTATCCAATGGAAAAAAAAAAAGGCATATTTTGTAGTAAGTAAAATTATTTGGAGAGTGGACACTTACTCAGGACAGGAAAGAACATATGAAAAGAAGTGAACAAACCCACGCTGGAGGAAACAGGCCAGAAAGCACCGAATCCAGGCTTGGAAGCTGTAACGCGGGCAAGGGCTCCTCCTTGCACTGCCAGATCGACGAGCTTGAGCAACCGCTCGGCCACACGGACACAGACCCGCAGGACGGCAGCTCCCGGCCCCCAGCTCACCGACACGTAGACAGCAACAGCCACCTTCCTTCTCCAGCATCCACATTAATGACAGACAGAGCCTGGCAAAAATCTCTATTTTCTCCTAAATCAATCCCAGGTAGTTTTAGCTGATTTCCATAAAACAACAATTCAAAGCAAAGCAGAGTAATATGCAGAAGAGAGTGAAAAATGACAAGTCCAGATGAAAACAGCGCACGAAATACAAAATACAAAAAAAAAAAAAAAATTAAGTGGTGGGTTTTCAGTATCTCAATTACTGCAGTACACGGTGGCTCCTGTTCAAGAGCCAAGACACACGCCATGCCAAGCCATTTTTACGAGGCTTCTGGCAGGGTGCTTTAGCAGACAGTGCATTCAGCTCTGACGCCAAAAAATGATTTCCTCTTCAGCAATCACTTTGTTGAGCATCACACCAATTAATGGGAGCACCCTGGAAGGAATATGTTTTATGTCTATGCCACTACTACACCTCTGAATCAAATGGAACTGAAAATCTATTTCTGCTTTCTAAAGCTTAAAGGAACATTTAAACTGAAACAAAACAAAACAGAAAAAAAAAACCCACAAAACTGTAATTGTAGATCAGACTTGAAATAAATCTATTTTCACAGAGGACATGGCTAAGACACCACCAATACACCAATACCGTAACTTGGGATGATCTGCTGATTCATGTTAAATCTCACTCTGGTCCCTGGCAGCTAGAGAAAACAGCTTCTTCTCTCATGTGTGCAATTTTATATCCCTTTCAAAACATACCACCTTAAATCGATCAGTTCTAAATACTCTGATATTCGTATGAATTATTCCTGGGCCTCCCAGGTGGAGGTAGCTCCCCAGCGCTCCCGGCCCGGGCGCTGGGCTGGCCGCTGGCGACCGTGCCAGAGGCGCCAAGCTCCATGGCAAGGGATCTCCCTGGGCTGACCGCATGGGAAGGACCAAGGGACACGGCCACCCGGGGCTGCAAGAGGAGGGAGAAGAGCTGCAACCAACACACAGGCGTCTGGGACACACTGCTGGGAGCACCGCAGCCGGGGACCGAGCCTGCACCAGCACCGACTCATCACAACCACTGATACTACAAACAATGAGCATTTCACTCCAGGTTAAATAGGTAATAGGAAGATGGGCTTTAACACTGGACAGTTTCTAGCAATTTTAAAACTCAGAAGTTTTTGACACACACCAAAAAAATAAATAAATAAATAAATAAGCTTTTCTTGAATATCATTTAGAGACATACAGTATTTCTGTTGCAAGACAGCTGCTCTCTTGCAAGTGTAACATTTAAGAATAGATAGATAGGCATGTCCTAATGCAGCTAAATTTTAGCTTGGTTTCTCATGTCAATTAGGATTTTTTTTTTTACATACCACTTGATTGGCCATATATAATCAAAGAAAAAAAAAACTTTTTTATTGGTACCCACTTACAATGAAAAAGTACATGGTGTAGGAGCAAATCTAGAATAATGACAAACCACTGAATTGTTAAAATCAAGAAAGAAAAGTTCCAGACAAGAGCGTGATAGTATGGAAACGAGAGAGCAGACTGTGTCAAGCTTTGATAATCTGACAAACTGACAAGAACCCTGTGGAAATATAAAAGGAAAGATAGAAATGAAGATTGAGAATGAGCTTTATACAGAAAAAGAAGCCTGTAAAACCCACTTCAACCATTGTATTTCTTGCAATAATTTCCATGGAGCATTTTGTATCATGGAGCAACAGACTGATCCAATAAAGGAAGAACAGATGCTATGCCATCATCATACTCATATCATCAGCGTCCTGCACTGCTTTGTCATCGATAAGGCCCAATACACTTTATAAAATAGACTCTTCACCTCTTTGTTTAAAAAAAATAAATGAACAAAGTTTGCCCAAAGTCAGGAGGATGCTTAATAGCAGAATTGGAATCAAAACAGATACTTCTGAGTTTTTAACTCAATAATGTAATGCCTTTATTGAAATGGAGTCTTATATTTTGAATTATCAAAATAAAATGTAATTTTTTTGTACCTTGATGCTGCATCAGTGCATATTCTATTTTAAAAATTAATAAACTGATAACAATGTCTTCAGCTAACACAGCTATCCCTTAAGTTACTAAATCTCCTAGTCCATCTTATTTGACATTTTGATTGACAAAACCAGTCCAGTAATCCATTTCCAAAGTACTGCCATACTTCAACCTGTGACTGGCATTCTGAAATTACTCTTTTATCAAGTCTTTTCATAACTTTTCTTCGAAGTGAGTTCTATAGCAAATCATTGCCGGATTTCTTGTAAACAGGATACAAAGCTTAAAAAAAAAAAAAAAAAGCACCCTTGCATTTATATTCTTTGACTCCCTGCATTTGCATAACTTACCAGGAAATCTGCAGTTCCATTAAAGTAATGTAATTTTCTTTTCAAGATAGTCTTTGATAAAAATACATAGAGAAACTGTCATCTCATTCAACAGCAGAACACAGAAGTCACTAATGGAAGAAACTTAAAGGCTTGCAAATAATCACCGTGCAGAAGCAGGTTATAAACTGAAGAGGGGCTCAGGACAAACAACAGAACTTATGAAAGACCCTGTTTTCATTAACAAAGGCTGAAAGATTAAGCATCATATAAAAGTGGAAAGAAAAAAAAAGTGCAAAGATTAATTGTGAGAATAAAATCTGAAAGAGAAACCCAAAATGAAGTGCTGCAACTCAAAGGATGAAAGTTTTTGTTTGTTTGTTTTTTAATACAGAAAACAGTTCAATACTCATCAGGAAACACAAATCAAGCAACTATTTAGAGTTTTCAGTGGAAAGAGCCATTAGGGCAGAAATATTTACATTCATCAACATTACATGTTAGTAATGTAAAGAAAAAACTTGAAGGAATTACTGCTCCCACAGAAGAGAAACATTCTTACCTTTGGCCATTTGGGATTCAGAAGTTGTGCTCTGATTGCATCATCCAGGGCCTTGTCGTACTGATGAATTTTCATGTAGGCTGCAGAACGGTTGCTGTAGAGTATGCAGTTCTGCGGGTCGACCCCCAGGGCCTCGTTGTACAGCGTGATCGCTGTATGCAAGTCTCCATCGTGGCAAGCCTGGTTGCTCTGTCGGACTTTCTCAACAAATTCAGCTTTGCTCAACATGGAGCTGTCAGGACTTCTTTTTCCACAAGATTTTGATCCAAAGAAAGAAATCTGTGGGGGAAAAAAACAGACACTAGTGTTAAGAATTGAAGTTCAAAAATACTATAAAAATTGTCAAAATACTAGAAACTGTATAGTAGAAATTAAAGCAAACAGCATTACTGCAGGAGGAATTCTTATCTAGGAATCAAGATTATTTATTTATTTATTTATTTATTTATTTATTTTTACAAGGAAGACGGAAAAATCCTTATAGAACATCTTATTTCCCATGTGCAGAATGTTCCAGAAAACATATGCTTTCTTCAGACATACAGCAAGCCATAATGTTTTTAATATGCTACACTGCATATGGTCGCACTTTTTCTTCCCCTTAGCAAAGTACTTGATCCTACAACATCCTAAACATTTTAAGGATAATGAAATTTTTATGAAAAGCCAGCAGGACTGAATGTGAAGATGATCCCAGTATATTCAAAGTTTAACGCAAAGGTCAGAAAACAAGCATGTGCAGAGACGGGTATAAACTCTCTTTGAAATGAAGAGTTGCACTGGTGCACCGCTCACAAATGCTGGCATTAAGCCAAGCGTACACCGCAAATTCTTTGTGAACAGAGAGGTCCATGGAATAGAGTACACTTGCACAAATTAGTCGGGCATAAAGACTGTGCCATCAACAGAGCAGCCATCCTTGCTCCTAGGATTGTCCAAGTCCGACTGTACAGACAAGGAAAAACAGTTTTGAATTACACAGTTTTGGGTCTTCTAACTCTAGAAGCTCTAAAGAATAAAGCGAGCTATAGCAGACCCCAGTTTCACCAGCTGCCTTGTGCACTTTTAACTCAAAAAGTAGCAGTCATCGTGCAGTGCTGAAACTCACTAATAGTAAGTGAGCAGAGCAATCCTGTAATTGCATAAAGGCATCACAGACACACACAGCTTCAGCCGCCGAGCAGCCACGCAACATGCAAGCACGCGTCCTCACGCACGCGCTGGGATGATCTGGAAAGACGACGCGTGCCCTCAGGGCCCGACGAGAAGTGAGTGCTTATGTTCCAGAACTGTGACAGACTGGGCTAACACAATAAATCACTTCCCACACTATAATGTGAACTACATTCAGTCAACACGTTAAATGCTTGGGGCTGCTAGAACGCATAATCATTAACACAATGACCCCTGAAATCAAGCAGTTCATGCCCCACATGCACAGATGAGCAAACAGCTGTCCTTAGGCTTTATAAGAGGGAGTTTTAAGAGTTTTACAAAAATAATAATAATTAAAAAAATAAAATAAAAGCCCTAGAAACCTTGTTCATTCCCTCAGGAACAATAAACCAAGTTTATATTAATTCAGTAGCAAAGTCAGGGCCACAAATAAAGGAAGGTCAGAAAAAGATTACAAATGCTGAAAGGAAGAAAAAGAAAGGTGAGAGAACTAACTTTCCATAACTTTTTCTTATCCCTATTCAAAATGGGTGGAGAAATGCAAAGATTGAGGCGTTCAAATGTGGGTTAAGGGGCACAATACCCTCTTTCCACATGCAAAAGATACCATGTGCTAGCATATTCCTAACAGTTACACAAAGGACTCTCTGGGATCAAAAAAAAAAAGCTGTGTATGTGCAGAGAAGTCCAAGTTGCTTTGATTCTGACTCCTCTCTGCCTTTACCTTTCTACATTCTTCGTTTTATTCAGCCAGCCATCTGCCTTAGTAACTGCTTTTGTCACATGTACTATACTTGCTCACAAAGACCCTCAGAAACATCAATACTAGAACATAGTTGTACAACTTCCATTAAAAGACAGTTGAGAATCCTGCAGTTATTTTATTTAGCTACAGGTAATGGGCACATACAGAAACACACGAGGTATTTCCCATTGTTAACTCTCCAGACAAAAAAAGGTTAAGAAAATTACATATTGTTATCACAAGACAACAGTTGCCCAGCTTAAATACATAACCAGAGCAAGCTGAGCAATATTTTTAGGTGAAAAGGGAAGCAAGCTGGAAACTGACTGACATCCTGTCTCAGGCATCAAATTGGTCTATAGACTTCTTTAAGTGTTAAAAAAAAAAAAAAAAAAAAAAGTACAGGTCTTTTTCCTTGTGTCATTCTCCAGGATACTCCAAGTTTTCATAATTAAATTATTTTCCTAAATCTTCTTTGTATCAGCAAATGCAGTTTCTTGTCCTGTCTACAGCAAAACTATCCGAAGCGTTCATTCCTTTTATCTATGTAATTGCTTTAGTATTCCTGCCTACATAAGTTAATGTACTGCCTGACTTTTAATTTTTTTATTAGAAACAGCACAATAAAAAACAAATTTCTGTATCCTTGAAAATTCATTCCACATGCCGTACATCTTTAAATGCACTGCATATTTCTCTACTACTTCCATCAAGTTTAGAAACAGCAATTCCATATATTTTCAAGTGCTCGCAGGAAAACTGCCCTATTTTGAACAACTCCAGGAACTGAGCTGAACACACTACTTTATGCCAAGCAGTAAGTTAATTCCTATCTCAATAAGTATGTGTGTAACCATAAGCTTCACTGTGCAGCCAGATTGCCATTATCTAAGGATCTGCAAAGACAGAATATGAAGATACTCGTATTTAACAGCAGCTCTAAATGAGTGGATGTTCAAGCATGAAACCAGGAAACCCCGAGAAAACCAAGGAGTCAGCAGAAGGCCAGGGCAGATACTCTATGGGAGGACAGGAACAGAGAAGAAGGGAGAGAGAGTGGTGGGCACCCAGTGAGCAGCCCAAGAACCCGCGGGTTGCACAGAGTCACCTCATTGCAGCAAGGGAGGAAAAAAGCCAAAGGAAGTATCAGGTTTCTCACATACCCTTTAATCTCCACCTACTATTTTCCTCTGTAGCTTCTGAAGGTTGTGCTTCTCCAATTCAAAATAAATAATTAAATAAATAAATAAGCAATCTCCTTGCTCTCAAAGCCCATTTAAGTTGACACATGTAATATTATCGTGTGAGATTCATTGCAGCAGGCAAATCTAACAACTCTCATGTAATTTCTCATACCATTAAAGTCAGAGCAACTATCAAACTTAACACTACTCTTTTTTCAGCAGTCCCATGTTTGCCCTAGTGTTTGTTCCTAGAAATTACCAGGAAAGCAGAAAACTTGATTTTATACAATAAGAACCAGCACTCCAAAGTCACTGCACAGATGAAAATCCAATGTAATGTTTCAGAAGTGGTCAATCTATGTAAGGAGCATTTTATACTCTTTAGTATATACCCTTTAGCTGAGATGTAAAAGAAGTTTATAGCTCAAGCATGTCAAAAATGTTCTGAAAGCAGCTGAAGTTTCATGCAATATTCAAAGAAATTTAGGGCTGTCAGTCTCTTCTGAAAAACGTATGAAAATTAGCAAATATAAATTAACAAGAGTGTTGAAGAAGTTACGTTGCCAGTTCTCAGGATTTCAGAGGGAGAAGAGCAGAACCAGTACAAGCTCTTTGGTGATGTCACCATTACCCTGATCCAAATCTTTAGAAACTGCCTTCAAACAAACGCTGTCAGCTACAACAGCCAGAGATGTTTTTATCCATAAAGATTTACCAAAACTTTTTTGAATCCCCTGCTATGTTCTTAGCTTCTCTGCTTCCTACCACAATTCAGACAAACCTAGAGATTTTCGTGATAAAAATAAACTTCTGCAGTGCAATTCAGCTTAAATAATTGGGTATGTCGGGTAGCACAACTCAAGTTTCTGGCACAACTAATATGCACAGTATTAGTACTATATGCATAACTGATCAGAAGAGCAGAAGAAAGCACTCAAAAAAAAGAAGATACACAAGTATCTTCTCTTCAGAAATCTTCCGCATTCAGAATTGAGGCAAGGTTCTCCTTCTAGTCCCTAAACTATATATTTCATCTGCACTGCAATTTTAGGACCAGAAAATACATTCTTTTTCCTCATGACTGGTCATGAGACCTATTTTGTAATTGCATCTTCCTCGCAGGTGGCCATAGCATTAAACATTCATTTATAAGCATACCAAGCATCAAATAATGTTTCTTCATAGTAATCACCGAAATTTTCCTGGGTTTTAAAGTAAAAGTGCTCCACTGAGGCAATTTGAACTTCTTAAGAAGTAGGACTAAAATTCTCTTTCCTTTGCGAGGGGTTTCATCTGGCTTGTTCGGAATAAGACAGATAGATGTTATCATGTGGACAAAGAAAAACTGCTTCAAATTCCGAAGAAATTTGCATTGAAGAAAACAAAAACTTTAATTTAAATGATCAACTGCAATTATAATTTCTCTTAACTAACTGGCTGTATTGTCTGCCACAGAATTCATTATGATGTGTACAGCCAATTTCGATCAACAAAAGCAAATGAAGCAGGAAACAGTCTTGAAAAATATTAGTCACATACATAACCAAAGCAAAATATGTTAATATTTCAGCAGAAAGACTGAATATATTCCTAAGGAACAGCCTCCTTTATGAGAATGTTTAGCACAGACGGCGTAAAAAACAATTTTGCTTCTAAAACTTATTATTTTGACCTAGACCAAGCTGAACCTATCAAAACAGTACACAACAGAATCAGGCAAGGTGACCTCTAGCTCGAACACTGCTCATTTTGTTCACTTTAAAAAAAACAGTTGATTTGTTAAGCAATGAGAAGCTTATGGGCACAACCTTTCAAAGTATTTTGGTTTCTCAGGTGTACTTTTCAAGGTGCCTTCTCTCTGTTTTATGTATCTCCTGACTACTGGCTTGTGTCAGGGACAGTGAAAACATCCATGTGGGGTACTTTCCACTTTCATCACATTCAGAGCAAACAACTGCAGCTTCTAATGCAAGAGTACCAGAATGTCTCATGAAATAATGCTTAAAATGTCGCTATTTAGAAGGGCAGTACTACAGGAAGCAGACTCCTTAACGGCAAGCGTTACAACCGAAATAGTCCAACTGTGGGAAGACAGCTAAGTCTCTTTGGAAGCATCACACACTTTGGAGAACCCACCTTTACCTCAGCAC